ATGTCACATTGAACATTTATTCTTTCCAATAAATCAAAGTTGCTATCTTGTTGAAATACAAAATCATGGAATTTAAAGGACAATTCATGATGATTTCAACTGATTTTCTTAAGATAAACGGTTCACAATTCTATTCTCTCTGTCTATACAGTCTATACACTAAAGAAATGTTGTTTATTATTTACACTTTTATAAATTAAGAAACAAGACATGGTTTTAAAAATCTAAATCTTGTTTGATCAAAAGTCTAGAAAAAAAAAGGCTTAAATCGGAAGTATCGGAAACGCTTTGTTTGTCGAATATGCCGTGTCTCCCTAAATATATGTCAAACTTGGGAAATTTAAGTTTGACAAAATGAGTATTAAAACGTAATACTAGAAATTTCTTTTTTAATATTAAGTAAAGTTTATTGATTCGATAATATATTTTTTGCATTTATGTTTTGCTGCGAGATGCGAAAACCCCATCAAATTTTTTTTTATAATCAATTGTTATATTTGGTCTAATAATATTATCTTTTTTATTATTAATAATATAATAATGCATTAAATCTCATAGTTACCGGTAGTGGAAATCAATCAGCTGATCAAGAGAAGTTTGGTCAACTTCTTTTTTATCGTATTTTTCGATAACTTTAAGTACTAATATTACTAATATTGTGATCAATGTTACACGTGTAGCATTCTCATCATATGTACAGTAAAAAGCAGGGGAAATAAAGCGAATCAAAAATATTACAATCACAATTTAGGGAGAAAATAGTTGTACTTTCCTGTGGATATTTGGTTATTACCATGTGTCTTCGATTTTATCTTAGTCCTTATTTCTGGTACCGTCACGTACATTAAAACAATTGGCTGTGGCTTTGCCAACATCCATTTCATAAAAACTACATATCGATATCAGGTTTTTAAACGATAACGATAATGCTTTATATATTTTATATCGTTACATACCGATATGATTATCTTTATTGTATATATATACATATATATATTTATAGTTTTACTATTCTGTTACACAATTCTTACTTCTGATTTTCCTCCGCACTTATAACTGCCGGAGGTTTGTATCTCCGTTTTGGTGACCTATTCCATATTTCACCATCTAAAGAGTGAGTGATGCTAATAAAAGTGTTTCTGACTTTTTAAAGTTCCGTATTACCCGTTTGTTTAACTCCTTGCGACTAAACTTTCTATATTCCCTCCTGCTTTTCTTTACTTTTGACGTACCCGATATTTTGTCGAATTATTTCCTTTTAAAAAAGATTGTGCGGCCTGCAAGGAAAAGAACAACTATATAAAGAACTTTTGCACTCATCCTTACCCTCATTTTATTCGATACTTTACGTTTTTCTTATTTCAACTGCAATTTTGTTGCCCTTAAGCTTTTGAATCGGTTTTCGTGAGTGCCTAAGTAATGTCCAATACGCTAGGTGATAGTGAATCGGTACGAATTCTTTTATTTTATTCTCTAGTTAACGTCACCTATTATTTCCGTTCTTGCATGTAAAGCAAAGTACTACGGTTTATTAAAAGTTCTTTATTATTTATTACTCGCCTCTGGCCTTTTTAAAAGGCGATCGTGTCTGTTCTATTGAAATTGTCATTTCGTAATCGATAAACAAATCTATCCCTGTTCCGTTTATTTGATATAAAGTGACCCGAATAACTCGCTAGATTTACAACAACAACCATAATAATAATTTTATTATCATTATTTTTTTAGGTCGAAGATAATCACCCACAAGAGAATGATATTGACCCTCTTCTTTCTCGATTATATGCAATGAATCCAGGTATTTATTTAATTAATTGAATTTAATTTCTGTGATTTGTTTCATTTATTTATTATGATCTTATTCCATCACCAAAACTTTCAGCCACGGAACGAAGTGCCTTTCTTGATGAGGTTATTATTAATCTATTATTAATTTTTGTGCTACATGTTTCTAATAAATTATTGCTAATGATAGCCTTTATTTTTATTTTATTTGATTATTTATATATTTTTAGGTTAATTCCATTGATGACGCTGAAGTTTTAAGACGTATGGTTATACAAAAGGAAAAAGAAAAAGATGATATCGCTCAAGACTTGAATATGGCTGCTCGTCTTGGCCTTGTAATTTCGGAGAAAAATGAGGAACTACAGATGAAACTTGATCTTGCAAAACAGGCTGAAGAACAGGCTTATCTCAAAGTAATGTTTTATTATTTTTTTTCGTTTATATTGTGTTTTCGTAATTCAAAAATTTATTGTTGATTCTTTTTTTTTTTTTTTTTTTTTCTCTTTCTTTCTTTCTTTCTATTAGTTATCCAAGCTAGAGGAAGAAAACCGTGTCTTGTCCTCAAAAGCTTCTCGTAGCAATGACCTTGCAACTCAACTAGCTGCTAGTGAAGAACAAGTAAAAATATTACGAGAACACAGAGCATTCCTTCAAAAAGAGCTCGACACTGCTCGACGAGAACTAAAACGTTTCCGTAAGGAATTGGATAGTCTCTCTGGGCAGATGAGTGATATGGCGGAGGATATGTGGGAGTCACGTAATAAAGTGAACACTTATGCAAAAAAATTGAGTAATTATTATTTCCATTTATCATCGTGTGAATATATTGCATTACATGTCAACTGATTCATCTTATTTTTTATTTTTTATTTTTATATTTTAGCCGAAGTTGAACAACATCTAGCTGATACACAAGAAATGAACGTTAATTTGTCCATACAACTCGAAAAGTCCCTTAGCTCTCAAAAAATATCTAGTGCAACAACAACACAAATCGTTAAGATGATTCAGGCTGATCTAGGCAGAGTATGTATATCCTTTTTTTGTTAAATAGTCTCTTTAACCTTACTTTTAACACTTACCCTTTAATACTTTTTAATACTTTTTAATTTTAATACTTTTTAATCCTTTTTAATTTTAATACCTTTTAATATTAACTTTTATATATATATATATATTAGGTCGTTCTAGAAAATGAGCACTTACGTGCTAGCATAAATGAATTAGAAAACCGTCAAGTTAAATGCGAAGGCAAACTTAGCGAAATGATGGTGTCAGCTCAGGAATATGCTCACCTTTTAGAAGAAGCACAAGATACCATACATTCGTTGAGTGAGACTCGCCTAGAATCTGAAATAGATAATCTGGAATATTCTCCTGGGCGAAGCCGTGGCCATTCTGATAAGCCTATCAAAGTAAATATATATTTTTTTTTTAAATCATTATTTTTATTAAGGTAATTAATTCTATTGTGTCTTGTAGGATTCGCCTCCCATTAAGGGTACTCCATTTTCTACTGAAGTAGAAAAGAGCATTGAGGAACGTATAATGTCACAGATGACTCCTTCACGAACCCAGTTTCAACCTGGTAGTAATTCTTCCGTTGACATGAGAAAAGCGGCAGCAGGTTTGAAGTACTTGCTGTCTAATAGCGAAGAAGGTAAAGATGGTGGTAAAGGAAAAAGCCCTGAGAGGCGACCACTTGGTGGTGGCGGTTATGTGTTGCATGCATATAACGTTCGATAAATTTTGTTTTCTCTGGGACACTGGGACAAATCGGGCGGGTCAAAAAGGACACTTATTATATTTATCTTTTTAATAATTTTACATGACCGATT